ACTATACAAAAATGCACCTCTTACTGTAGACAGGAAAATGTAACCTTTCTATGGTAAATGTTTTAAATGAATACTCTTGTAATTTTTTTTTTTTTACTGATACTGTGTTTACATTTGTATACTCAATTCACAAACACAGTGCCAAATGCTGCAGGTTGTTTTTTTTTATTTTGGCAATACCTCAAATGTTTCCATAAAATTTTAGACTGGAACTTTTGTATATTTTCAGAAATTGTATATTTGTAGCACTTGATTTAGCCATTTGGTGTGTCATGTAGTTAAGCTTTTAAAAAGGTATACGTGTAAGTAACAGTCCATCTAAATGGCAAAGAAACCCAGGACTCTGGAAAATAAACTACAATTTAAACATTTTGTATTTAAATTTACAAGTTCAATAAATAATCCATGGTGTTGAAGTTTATACTGAACATCTACTTGTTTAGCTGATCATTTTGGTGTAATGTGATCCATCTCCTATGGACAAATGATCAGGTCTGTCATTAAAACAGCCACTTGCCACCAGGTGAGCTGGTACCTTTAGACAAAGGCTCTGTTTGTTGTACCTAATGGCAAGCAGGAGGGTGGGTGAAACAAATTTTGTTTTTAGAATAAATGTTTTAAAGGATTTCCATATCCTTTATATGTTTGATGGATTAAATTAAGGCCCACAATTCTAAGGCAATTGTTAGTGGGTAATTCGGATAGGGAATCCCACTGAAGACTTGTCACTTGGAAGCGTCATATGAAATTCTTTTAATATTGGCTGCGCACAGATTATTTGGATAATGCTCTCATGTTAGGACCCCATATAGACCAATGCTGCTACAACAATTTCTTTAATGGGCTTCTGTATGTTAGCATCATTGGCAAATTTGATTCAGTTGACTTCGGAGAATTACAACTGATTTCACATCGAATGCAAAATAACACCCATTAAATATAAATGAATGCGAAGACCACGTTACTCGGTTGACTTAATGTGCCTGGCTACGACGAGACAGGGACCATAACCTATGCAGCGAAGGTAGTGTTATCGGATTGACCGTGTCAGTGCTCAATACACGCTCTCCTTTTGCGATGTGGCTACTGAGTGGAAACTTAAGTTTATGACTTTTAATGAGATGCTACCTAATTAAGGGTACTTTATCGTTGTTTAGTGTTTTTTCGTACTTTTCAGTTAGGGGTATCTTGCTGGCTAGCTCGCCGTGGACCAGCTGTCATAGCTTATTACCACCAATAACAGACACACGACACCTTTGCTACCCACGGGGTGTTTCCAAGGCCTATCGCTGTAGGAGCGTCCATAGCCACTTGAAAGTTAGCAACGTTTCCATATCATTAACCCTTTCCTAGCCGGAAGCTGAAGCTGTATGACACAGACGCCTTTTCCGTGATAAGTTTATCATGTATGCTAACTAACGCTATTGGTGCAGTGGACCTTCTTTCGGGGAGACCAACCAATCTGCTTTTTAGAAATTGCCCTTAATTTGCCTACCAGGGTGTATTCTAACCAATCGGGGGGCTGAATGTGAAGAGGAGGCGTGAGGCCGTGCTTCTCTGTGCAGAGTGTTCATAAGATAATCGATCGTGTGGATTTTTGAAAAGGAGACAAATCTAATACGAAGATTTCGATAAAAAGCAAAACTCGGAGCAGGAGGTAAAAACGCCATTCACTTGTCGTTACGAATTGCGTCAGTGAATATTGTTAGACGTGTATGAAGCTATTGAAACAGCTGTGTGGTCGCCTTCGTCGTGCTGTTTTTGTTGACTTTTTATGGAAGGAATGGGGGGTCGGAGGGCATCAAGGAGGAGAGTAGCTAAAGGGTTGTCAATTCAAGACCGCAATGGATAATCTGCTGTAGCTGGCTGTATTACATGAAATGCAGTATAGTGATTGCACCTCTTGTTACTGTGCAAGTAAAGCGAGCTGGCTAAAAAGCCGCTAGCGAGCTCACGTTAGCTCGGTAGCTGTCTGCTAGCAAGATGAACGAAACAGGAAAAGGAGCCAGTGAGCAGGCTAACTCAGCTAGCAAGCTGACATTAATTGATTCTGGTCTGTCCAAGCATCCACCGTCTTGCATTGGTTTGTTACGTAGCAATTATATGCTGAATGAGTTGTAGCTAAGTACCCACCTTGCTGTATTAACGTTTGCAATTTAGACTAGCCAGCAACCAGCTTGCTAAGTTAGGTAGACTAGCTAACTACATTAACCAACGTAACCATGGGTTGTTCAGCAGCTGGGGACCGAAATAGAGTTTAAAACATCGTCGGTTGTTAGTCGTCCTACACTTTATCAGTGAATCTAATCTTGCCACAGTTTTACCGTTTTTAACCTTACGATAACTAGACTGCGAGTCAACTGGCTAACGCTAGCTAAACTGAATGTAATATACACTAGTAAGCTATCTAATGTTATCTGCTGTCGAGCTATCCAGGCACGACTCCTTCCAGAGAATTATGTGATACTGTCGAAGTTAAGCTTCCTGAAACTTTTTTCTAGAACTTTTTTCCCCCACCAAGTTATCTCTTTTGCTTGCCATCTAATGTTTCTCAGCATTGTGAAACGGTTGACGCCCTCTATAAATTAACTTGGCTAACAGTCAGCTACCTAACGTTAGTTAGACTTAGTTACATCTGTTCATTGAGTGATGGTGGGAATGACGTTTGGATTGAAGTGAAGTATGACATGTAATGCAGCTGAGAAATTTTGTTGAAAATCTAATTGTACTTATACCTGGTTAATGTTTTTAAAGGCGAAAAAAACATTTATAAGCAACTTGTTTTACTAGAATTTAATTCGTTTGGTATAACGTTATAAATTCTATCGTGAGAGGCCTAAAATGTGGGCAGTAAATTATCGCAGAACTGACATCACTGAATGCGAAGAAACTTTACGGGTCACAAGTGCAGGGATAAATATTAATCTGGATAATATTTATGTGCATAACATAACCCCTTAATACATTTTTATTTGTGTGATTGTCTTTACAAACCACTTATTACTCACTGTTGATTTCGGTGTTAGGTGAAATCCTGGCATCACTGGGGAGTAGGGGTACTGTTACTTCAGAGTGGTCAGTTATAGCTATTTTGCCCTTTTAGTGTTTTAAAACAACGCAACAAACTATCAATATCATTCTTAGCTATAGGAATAAATAAATAAACTGTAACTGATGTAGTCGTTCTGGATAAGAACATCTGCTAAATGCCAATAATGTAATGCAATGTAGGAACATTATGAGTAGCTAGTCAAATTCAGTTGGATGAGGTTTCAGCACTCCTGGAATGTCATCAGTTAAACCAAGATCAGTTAGCCAACTTTTTACAATTTTGAAAATATCTGCAACTCCAATAACAATCTTAATAACAATCTTTTTAATACAAGTTCTAATTTGAGATTCCTCAAGACATCTCAGGTCAGATCAGCTGTTTACACATGAGCTTCTCAACCAGGGGTTTGAGAACCCCTGTGTGTAGATCTCAGTGCTGTGGAGTGTCTGTAAGACTGTGTGAAATGCAGCCTACACACAGTATTTACTATAAAATGATGAAGGGGGTTATTCAGATGAATTGTAGGGATAAAGGTCCTGTAGGGATACAGGTCTTAAGAAGGTTGAGAACCCCTGGTCTAAACTATCACCCGTTAACGTAGTACTGGTGCCGTTCCTAGCAGGTACTACTGTTCTGGCTGCATCACTGGCTGTATACATTTGAGTCATGAGAGTCGACATGGAGAACAGCATGTAGATAAGCACAATGAAAATGGGTGTAGTTTACATTTAACTCTTGTAATCAGAGAACTTCAACTTCCTAAATTCTTTGTTCAGAGTGAAGCTGAGTGTTGAGTGTGCATTTGTGCATTTGGTATTTCAATATTTTTAAGCATCTGATAAATGGGAAGGTATTTCGCTAGCTGCTTGTAGGCTTTGTTCCTTGTGTCTTCTACCTTTTGGAAATTACAGACAGCATAGCCAAATAGTGCTTGACATTTTCAGGTATGGGGGTCTGTTTGCTATTAAGTTTGCAATGAGTGTACAGTACCCTTTTACACCTTTGTGTGTTTTTATTCTTCTGGAATGATTAAGAATTAGCAAGCTAGAAGGTCAAAAAGTGAAAATTTGAGAAATATTGCATAGTGGTTGCTATGTAACAATGGCACTATGTCAAGCACAGGATGGACTTAGTAAAGGCAAATTTAAACAAGTATAAGCAATAAATTACACTGCAGTGCTGTAATGTTAGTACATTATGGCAAAAAATGTGAAAAAGCAATACATATTTCTTTATCTGTAAATAAACAGTATTTCAAACATGTTTTTCATTCTCCTGTGCTGCAAATAATTTCATGATATTTAAACCCTGTTAAAATGACCCCCCCCCCTCTTAATATCACATATGTTCTGCACAGCAGAAGGGACACTAAGTGAGTCAGCCAACAAGGTAAGTGTAACAGTTGGAAAAGTATTTGTTTCTCAAGCAGTAATATTTTATTAGTGGGTCACATGTAACTTTCCACCAAGCTCAAGTGTGGACCACAGTATGTCCTGACCAGAATGCATTCCCTGCAGAATTTGTCTGTAAATTCAACTTTTCTGTTTGGCTTTGGAGTTAACCCCAGTATCCTCATTCTAAGCACCAACAGATGAGCAGTTGGATGCTGTGTATATATGAAAGGCCATGAATCACAACTTCTGTAAGGCTTGAGCAGATACCTGTAACACTCATATGTAGAAATTATGGCTAAGGTTGCAGATTTTTAATGCCTGTTATCCAGTGTGCACTGTTAAGGAGTATGATCTGTATGCTGTACAGTGTGCCGTGTATGGTGAATAGGACAGAATAAAACAGAAAGCTAGCCAAGTTATTTCTAATAAGTATAAATAAATAACTTGCTGGTTGGAGGACACTGCCAAATGGTAGTTTAGATGAACTTTTTTTCTTGTTAACTAGCTGCTGAATTTTTAGAGATAATTTTGCCAACATGGTTTAGCTAATATGGGGCAGCATAGCATAGTGGTTAAGGAGCTGGACTTGTAACCAAAAGGTTGCTGGTTTGATTCCAGCTGGGGCATTGCTGTATCCTTGGCCAAGGTACCTAACCCACAATTGCCTCAGTAAATATCCAGCTGTATAAATGGATAATATTGTAAAGAAACTAACTGATGTAAGTCACTCTGGATAAGAGTGTCTGCTAGATGCCAATAATGATAATAATAGCTTTGCAATATCAGCTTTAGCTAATATTTTCGGTAAAACTGCATAAAGAAATTAAAAAACATGGTTTACATGTAGTCTGACAGATTAATATTACTTTCTTACAAATTAACCTATGTTTGCAGAACTGAAGACTTACAGTGGTGAATTCTTATAAAATGTTATCATTCATTAGGCTATCTATTGTGAAATTCATGTCAAGTGTAAACTACAGACTCAAGCACTTTAATTTGATAGGAAAACGGATTCCAGAATTGGAGCTGGAATTCTAAGTGGAACTGCAATATTTAATGACTTTTTGTGAATAAATCATATTTTGTTTAACAATGTAAAGAATATTGAATTTTATTTGGATTAGAGTTTTTAAACTAAATAGAATATCTCAATTTCAATTCAATCCATATTTGACTTCATAAAAGTCAAAGAACATCAGCATGTCAATACTGACTGTGCTTAATTCAGTGAGTGTATGCTTGATTTGCCTTAGTATAACAGCAAAATATGTAAACTTTTGTATATTTTAATAATGTAGTTAACAGCTGTAATATTCTTTATAAGAGTGAAAGAGTATTTGCTAGTTACTTGTAGTTATGTATGCTAGCTAGGCTATCTTTGTTCTCTGGCTCCATGAGACTGATTAAGGCAGTTAAATGTGAACAAACATGTACCAATGTATTACAGACAAGAATTTCAGTCATTTCCCATTGTGACAAAAGTTGTGTTCTTCAGCAAAATATTTACAGATTCTCAATTTTCTTTAAAATGAATTAAAACCCGTAGTTCAGTCTTGGTTGGATAGATAATATTTATTTAAAAATAAACACTCTAACTGCGAAGAAACTGCATAGACCTGCACATCAGTACATCAGGAAAAATTGTAATCGAATAGTCAAATACTGATTGTTAGAAGCTTGTGATCCAGGAAGTATTTTTGTGCAGAAAAATAAGAATGTCAGCATGATCTGAGAATGAGAGAGAGGAACCCTCAGACCCACAGCTAAGAGAACTTTCCTGTCGGTACTTTAGTAGTTGAGACACAAATGCACTTTTTTAGAGGGCATGCTGATGTCCTCTATGATATCAGTTGAGATTGTAGCTGTCTGCCTGTACATTGTATCACATTTTGATTTGTGGCAAGTGTGTTGCAGTTGTTTATTGATGTTAGATTTGTTTAATGGTGTTCTTTTTGTTTTTATCATTGTGTTCCCAGGCAGTGATTTAGCTACTTTTTTGTACCATACCATACTGTAGATGGGTAGACAAAAAGTTGGTGGCATAACAGATCAGGTGCTTGCTCTCAGTTGTTCTCTCAAATGCATTTCATTGGCTGTAACTTGTCTGCAAACCTTCATTGCACAAGAAAATGGAAACTGTTTCAGAATCAGGTGAGCTAATGCACACATTGTCAAGTAGTTGACTGTTCTGTCTCAGCCCTACTTATAGCAGTGTCAGGGATTTTGTTGCATTTACATTACCTCTAACTAGAATACTGATCCTGGCTTTAGCTGGTCTTTCCTAGCTAACTTTGAAATACAGCACTTGATTTCCCAACTGATCAACCAGAACTTTATAAACTCAGACCCAAGGCTAGTGACATCAACAAGATACAGAGTCTTGAAAAAATAACATTACATGTTGACTGCATGAGTACTGTGTTCAAAGTCAAAGTTTCAAAGAAGAAGCGTATTAAGGCTCAACACACTAAGAGGTGTTTTGAGGCAATATGAATTTGCCAAACTGCATTCCAGTTTTTTTTTTTCTTTTTTAATATTATTTTTGCATTTTTTTGTTTCTTTCCCCCTTTTGAACCAGTTTGCGATCACTAATTTTGTATTATGCTCATCTCATGCACTCCCTCCCATGCTCACAGCAGTGCTGAAGTGAGATGAGTGCAATCATCCAATACACTGAGCCATAGAGGGCGCTGCAGCGGAGATGTCTTCCAGGGGATTTTAAATTAAGTTTACATGACTCTTCAAAAAGTAGTGAAAAACCTTAAATGGGACACAGAACAGGGCTCGACAGTGCGAGCGATTCACTCGCATTTGCGACTAGAAATGATTGCTCGCGAAACACTGCAGATTGTCTGTTGTTTGTGTGCTTGTGAAAGCTACAACGTGAGATTGTTTAATTAACAAGGATGGCATTTATCGATTTAACTTACGTTAAATGCTCATGACACATCACGGCTTTTGTGAGGTCTTTGTTCTAAACGTTATTGTTCATTGCACTCAACCTAACTTAAAAGTTCATTCTCAGTAATTTAAATTGGTTTCACTAAATTTAGCTCCGTTTTGTAATTTGAATTTTGTAACACAAGAAAGCTATAATGTGAAACATTTAAGAGAAAGCTGTGGGATTACTTGCCGCTTAATTATTCAAATTGCCATCCTTGTTAATTAAACAATCTCATGCTGTAGCTTTCATAATAGCACACAAATTTCAGACAATCTGTGGTGTTTCGCGAGCTTAATCATTTATTCTAATTATGCCATTGGTGTTGATTATTCTGTGAATTATTTGTTTTATTGTTAATCAAGGAGGATAAAGGGGAACAGGTTGAAAGTAATGATAGATTTAAAGGTAGTGTTCGGGCTTCCCCTGTTTCCAGCTCACCCGCTGCCACTGATCTATTTCTAGTCGCAAATGCGAGTGAAACACTCGCACTGTCGAGCCCTGCAGAATGTAACCTCTGCTTTTTGAAACTTACCCTGCAAATATTGGTACTCTTTGGTCAGAATGAGAGTGAACTAGGTGACTGTTGGAAAAGCTTCACCTTCCAGAAAACTGAACAGATGCATGCCTTTAGAAGCAAACTAGCAGTTTTATCTAAACGAGCGGGGTCATGTCTGTTACCATTTGTGCTTTCCTCGATTCATTGTTGGATCCAGTGGATTGTCTGAATCCTTCTGTTACAAGTGGTCACATTCTGAGATGGTGATTCTGACATCCCGGCTTTGCATTGCAAATCTTGCTCACTGCTGTCAGCTGTGTCGGGTGTTTTGACACAATGCTTCTTTACAGTGCTGTGCGTACTTGTAATAAAAGGCAGTCACTTGGTGAATTTGGCTATTGGTATGAAACGTTTTGGTTTTCTGACTTGACAATCACTGATGGATAACCATGTACATATCGTGGTGCTTCAGTTTAGTCCAGCTTTGAAATTCAGCTGCTTTTTTTCTTAAGTCACCCTGGGTTTGAGCCTCTGGCAGATGAATAAGTGTAAATGCAAAGTTGCTTGCCACAATTTCTATTCATTTCTGCTTAAAACAGAAAGGAATCAGTCCAGTTTGACCACTGGGTCATTCCATATCAAATCACCCAGAGGGTCCCAGGTCACCCTCTCAGATTCCCCTTAAAAAATTCACAGGTGCTCCTATACCAAACTTATGGAGACATCCCAGATATTAGGTCTGTATCTCTAGTAGTTTTGAAACTACAGCCCTTTGAAATTTTAATTAATTTAATGCATTTTGCCAAATTAGCCTTTCGGTCCAACATTCGTAGCTCCTTTGATATGGCATGTACAGCTTTGAAAGTTTGTGACTAGGGATAACGTTTTCTGTACCATGTATGTTGTCTCTTGCCCAGCTATACATATTATGTGGTGTAAGAATCTGGTTGTTAACAGTGGCCTGAAGGCTTGCTCTAGCTACTAGTCTTTTAACAGTGCCACCTACACTATCACAGGGGCTCTTCCCATGGCTACCAGCAAAGAAGTGCCATTCGGCCATTCGAAAAGAAAACGTTCTTGCTGTGATTATTTGTCCATTACTGGTGATAATGCTTTGACATGTTTTTGACAATCAATAAAATTGCCTAACTTGAAAAAAAAATTGTTGTTTATTTTCACTATTTTGAATTAATTTATGAAAGGGTGGTATGTTCCTCTTATTGAAATAAGACAATTCTATTGAAATAAGACAATTCTAAAACTGTGAACTATGTAATATTTGTGTTTTGGTTGAATTTGTATGGCAACAAGAGCATGACAGCTCATTCTTTAAAAATATCATAACTCCAGAAGGAAGCTCAGCAACAACACCAAATTTTTTGTCAGATCATCTTCAGATATATAAGAATACATGGTAAAAATATGAAAATGATGGTTAACTGCCCACATGGTCAAATGAGGACATGAAAATAGGCAATTTTGAGGAAATTTGAAAATTGAGCACATTTCAAAAAATTATTCTGACACTCCTATAACAATAATAAATATGGTTACTGCATACACATGGCCTAATATGTCATAAATGACAGGAAAAAAACTGAGTGCTTTATCTAGCACACTGTTTGAGTGAAAAGCTCTCAAAGGGGGTGTTGTTTTGTTACGTTTTGCATTTTTGGCCATTTTCAGAGCCCTGTAGGAGGAAAAATACCTAAGATGCACCTGATCTGATTTTTGAATTCTACAGAAAAAGTTAGCCCTAGTCACAAAGTTTCAAAGCTGTACATGCCATATCAAAGGAGCTACGAATGTTGCAAGTTGGACCAAAAGGCTCGTTCGGCAAAATGCATAAAATTAACTAAAATTTCAAAGGGCTGTAGTTTTAAAACTATTAGAGATACAGACCTAATATTTGGGATTTCCCCATAAGTTTGGTGTTTTTTTTCAGGGGAATCTGAGAGGGTGACCTGGGAAATTTTTCTAAAACTGGGTGATTTGATATGGAATGACTCCACTGTTTAGTGACTGTTGTAAGCCTTCATTCATATGGTGAAATTCAGTGTTATCTGTGGTGATGTTATAGTGCGTTTTGGTGTCTCTGGTTGAATTAAACTCATAACATTCTGAAAAACTGGACTGCACAAGTATACACCCTAGAATGCTACACCAAACATTAAGGGTACAAGC